GGGGCGCCTCCTGGGACGCCGGATCTGCTGCCGCCCGCACTTTGTGCTCAGCGCGCGCCGCGCCTAAAAGCCCCTAATGCGCTCGGCGCTTCCTGCCGCCGGAGCCGATCGATGGGGCTTCTCCGGTGTCCGGGGCTGCTGCCGCCGCCAGCCCGCCGCCCCCATCCCATCCCATCCCATCCCATCCCGGCACGGAGCAGGCCGGGCCCGGGCCCAGGCCCCCGAGCCGCCCCGCCCGCCAGGAGCTGCGCCCGCGGGGGCCGGGCTCGTACCTCTCGCACTTGGTGAACTTGCGGAAGGCCTGGCGCAGGTCGTGGAAGGAGCGGTAGGTCTGCGGCTCGGCGGAGATGCCCTGCGCCCGCGTGGTGCGGGGCCCGATGTGCGGGCTGGGCACGGGCAGCACGGACTGGCACTTGTGCAGCCGCCGCTTCAGCTCCTGGATCTCCTCGTCCTTGTCCGACAGGCGCTGCTCCAGCTCGCGGATCCTCTCCTCCTTCAGTAGCAGCAGCTTGGCGAAGTCGCCCTCCAGCTCGCTCATGGTGCCGGGGTGAGTCCGGGAGGGAAGTGGCTAGGGCTGCCGGCTGGGCTGGGCTGGGCTGGGCTGGGCTGGGCGCGCAGGCAGCTGGAGGCGAAGTCTGAAACCCGCGGAGAGGAGAGCGGCTGAGTGCTAATCCGGAGCCTCTCCTGGGACGAGGTGATTAGCTCTCATTGAGGAAACCAATTAGAGCTGTCCTCCCGCCCGTGAGAGCCGCCCGCTGCACTCCATGAGCAGGGAGAGGCGGGCCGGCCAGCCCGGAGCGGGGTGTGATCACAGCAGCCGCTCTGCCTCCATCCAGCCCTGCCCAGCACTCAGGGGCACAAAAGGGGAGTGGGGGGAGCTTTGTGCCACTCTCCAAGTCTTGATCCTTGAAATAGCAACAATGACCATGTGATCGGCAGGGTGACGCAGCTCTGTAACTGGATCCCAAGACTTGGGATTTAAAAAAAAAAAGAAAAAGAGCACTTCATAAATATTAAAGTGTCTCCGACTAATAACCTGCACCAATCTGTTCTCTCTTTTCTCCCCCACCATCTCTTACAGCTGCTCGTGTGTGTGGAATAGCAGCCTAGCTGGTTGCACCGGAAAGGCCTGATCACCAGCGCTGCAACTTGGATGCCCTCAGACACCAGAATACGAAGCTTCAGAGGCAAGGCTGGAATTGGTGTGCCCTCACCAGCCAAAAGACAACCAACACAAAGGTGTTAAGTGCAAAATGCTACTGATGACTTCAGCTGCCTGCTGACCACCTCCAATGGTACTGCAACCTCAACCAAGCAGCTGCCGGTTTTAAGATAAAGCATCTTGCCCCTGAAGCAGAGAAGAGCAAGCAGAGGAAGGAAGAGGAGAGAAATCCTGGCCAACGGCCTAACCTCCTTTGCAAAAAGAACTGCAACTTCTGCAGACAGGTCTGTGGCTCAAGGATTGGATTCTTAAGTCACTTCAAGACCCATCAATAGTAGAAATCATCCTCAAATCAAGGGATTGCTGATGAGACCCTGCTCCACCCTTTCACTCATGCCAGCTGATACAAAGGGGTGCTGAGAACTGTTGTGGCAGTTTCCAGTGCCCTTTAAACATTATTGATAGTAGATCAGGGGTGAGCAAAATGTGGCCCAGGGGCCGGACGCGGCCTGCCAGGCCATTCTATCCGGCCTGCAAGGCCCCTAAAAATTTAGAAAATTAATATTTATCTGTCCCTGGCTGCCTATCTTGCAGAACTCAATGGCTTGCCAAAACTCAGTGAGCGGCTCTCTGCCCAAAATAAGTGCCCGCCCCTGTAGTAGATAGTATTTGTCACTTGGAAAAAATAGAGGATGCCTCAGATACAGGCACCAAAAAGGATAAGCATGGTTTCACCTTTCAGAAATACACACTTAAATGAAATTGCTTAAAAATTCATCAAGCACTGACAGGGCTCCAGTGATGTAATTATACGAAAGAGGTGGGGAATAGATAAGATTTAAATATGTTCTCAGCTGAAGTATCTGTGAAACAGAATACATTTTGCCAACTCTTATTCTGAAAGTGTCTCTTGATGATTTATCAGTTTACTACTGAAATTTACAGACAACATTACTCCTTCTTCCCCCCTCCCTCACGTGTCCCGTCTAAATGGGGTCAATGCTGTAGATCCTGGCAGTCTGCTGGCTTTGGCCATATGTATCTATGAATAACATTACTATTGAATCAAATTACACCTTACATCCCCACCTAAAATTGGAGTAACTGTATTGTAATACAAGATGTTGAATAGTTTCTACTCAATAAAGCTACTTAACTTTAGATACAAAGGTATTGCTTTTGAGGTACATTGTTGTTTCTCCTGTTATACCAGTGTTTTTAATACTACAAAAGCAGTAAATGCATTTAATACTACAAAAGCCACAAATATTGGCTGGAAGAGTTCCTGAAAATGTATATGTTGATTCTATAGCTAGAGAATTCTGTATATATTTGTAGCAAATGTATTGATAGGCTATAAACATTATCACAGTGCATGGAAACATACTCCTAGCTCTTATTACCACTTCATTTTTGCTAAGCTAGATTCTCTTATAAGGGAAAAAACATACGCAAATGTACTGATGTCAGTGGGATTTCCTAGGATTTACACCAGCATAAATACAATCAGAAGTTATATATATAGTCTATAGAACACCTGTACATAGTCCCAAACAACAATAGTAAATATGCATATTTAGGGTGAAATCCTAGCACCTTTGAGGTCAATGGGGGTTTTGCCAGTGACCTTCATGAGGCCAGGATTTCAATCTTACCACGTATATTAGGTATTGACCACTGCACATACACTTTTATGAAAGCTTTAGAAAGATACATTACAACTGGAAATCATATTTCTACATGAATAGTGTGTGCTTACTGTTGTTTCCAGTAATCCCTTAAGATATATCCATAACGGAAAGAGATAAAAGAGAAGGATTTTTTCCACTTTTTAAATTTCTCTATATTTGGCACATGACTGCAGATTGTGCATTGTTAGTTTCATAGTTTTTGTGAAGGCCATCTGGGAAATTGCTCACCAGTAATATAAACAATAAAATTCAAACAGAAAAGATCACAAGTAGCAGGCAGGTATATACATGGAAAGAAAGGATCTGAGACATCTGGTATTTCTGATGCAAGGCTTATCCATAAAAAATTTTGAATATGAACATGGAAGAAAGGTGGGAGAGAAGAAGAGAGGGTCAAAACAAACAAACAAAACACCTTACATTTTTAAGGACTTTACAGAAAGAACGCTATTTTCATTTTTCTATTTTTAAACTTAGGAAATGAAAGTTGGCAGCCTTCATTTAGCTATTTTTAAATTCTCGTGATAAATTACTTTTGCTTTAACTCACCCAAATTTGCCAATTGAAATACATCTCTTAAAAGTTTTTTTTAAAATCAGAATTTAGATTTTTTTTTTTAAAAATCAGAAAAATAGGCTAGTAGTGGAGTTCTTTAAAGTTTTGTTTCACACTTGTTGAAACAGCAGAACTGGGAGTAAATGTAAATCTGGGACAGACCCCTGAAGCCTTCATTTTGTTTCACACTTATTATAAGGAAAACAGCGCCATCTTGTGTACAAATATAATTCAAGGTACACAAATTGTTTGTTCTTTTTTGTCTCATCACAGCATACAAAATTGAAACCACAAAGTAGGTAAAAAGGTACACCTATGAAGAAATCAAAAATAGCTTGCCGATCATTCTTATTTCTTTTACTGTATAGGCTTAACTAAAATTTTAAAGGAACAGTTTTAGAATCGTTTAGTGAGCATCTTACACAATGCAAAAGAGAGAAAATAATTACTATCCCTGTTCTTGATGCAAAGCTTAGTTAAAAAGAAAAACATTTAAAACTATAAAATATTTTTAAAATAAAAGCTTAGGGTACAGCACTGCAGTTTGGGGAAAAATTGTATTGAAGTAAGCTGTAGTTCTGTATAAAGCAGTTCGGCCACTGGCAGATGTTAAATTAAACGTGCAATAGGATCTGATGCACAAACCCAACAATTACGCCTCCTGCCATCCCACACATGCATGGCAGAAGGTGCAGTTGGTAGAATTGAACCATATTTCAGGGGAAACCAGGGTTCATGATCCTGGTCTTCCCCTGCACTGGCAAATAGCAAGCTTCCCCCCGCCCACTCCTGTGACTGGAAGCCCCAGTGAGCTGATTGGGGGGGAGCTCCTTAAGGGAACCAAGGGTTCCATATCCTCCCCTGGCTGGGAGCCCTGATCAGCTCACTGGCACCCCTAGCCTCAGCAGGGCACTGGAGTTTTGAAAGGCTCCAGTGTGCTCCTGAGGGTGGAAGCAATGGTCACCAGTTCAGTTTAAGGTGTATGGGAACCAGCCAAAAAGTTATTACACACATGTTGTGTAATAAATTTATGGTTTTTTCCCTGTTTTATCACATCATTAATTGAATGAACATGTGACTGGGTCAAAACTTAAGACATGATTAACAAGCGTAACATCTATCAGGGGCCTTAGTACAGTACCAGATCATTAGAAGCAAGGTAGATTGACAACATGAAGATTTTTTTCTGTTTGGATTTTGTGAAATATGTTTTTCTTAAGTTCTTGTTTTTCAAAGAAAGTTTTAAAACATAATGCACCAGTTTATAAATTAGGTGGAAACTTGCACTACTAATTCTCTTCTGGTAATCTCTCTTCTTACTTCTGGAAATACCAGTGAAATAAAACACCCAACATGCAATGGTCAAGAATTCAGGTATCATCAGAGTCAAATGAAGCTCCTCAAGGTCCCATACAGCCATGGAATAGAAGTGGGTGCCTGCCCTGAAGGACTTGCAACACAGAAGACAAGACAGACATTTGCCTATACTTAGCAAAATACAGTCTCTAATCCTTGACCTGAAGTTGTCTATAGTTTTATTAATTTTGTAAAAAAACTGCTAGCAGTTAGGTATTTTAATATGTGTGTGTGAGAGAGAAATTCTGGGACAAATCACAAAAGCAATGAAATCTAGTTTCTGTTAGCATCACCTTTTTAAAAAAATATCATTAAGTATACAATTTAGTGTCAATTGTATTTTGTGTACTATGTTAAATATAGCAATTCCATGCCCTTGTTAGAAGAGTAAATGTATCTGAAAATTTTGTGCTCTCCCTGAAGGTAAAAAGAGTTTTGCCAATGACTTAAGGGACAACATGATCAAACGCGTTATTTAGGGGGATATACAGCATTATACATCATGAAGAGCTTCTTGAGCTCCACTGAGGTATGCACTGTATGGTCTATACAGTGCATGTCCATTTTCACCTTGAAAAACTGAATACTACATGCAATTCCAGTTTAACTGAGTCACATTAACCATTTTAAAGACTGGTTTTCTCAAAAGCTTTCTTAAAACTACTCATAGAGGAAACTGAAAATAGATATAAGTGGTTTGATGTCCTTTTTCAAGATACATAAAATACAATGTCAGGAAAAGAAGGAAGATTCCCCCTGTCCTGGAAAACTTCACTTACTTGAGGCAACACCCACATTTGCATACATTACGTCTTATATCACCTACATTATATAATGCCCCATAGGCACCTAGTACACACCCAAGAATTGATGCTCCCCCCCTACCAGCTCCCCACACACAAAAGAAGTTCTTTGCTTGAAGGAGACTGGACCCTGGGAATAATTTAACTGATAATTGGAATGCAAGTCATACTTCTACCCAACAAGGCATCAGATGCATAGCTGGATAATTCTGCACCAT